AAAGCAGAGTTATTAAAATGATGAGCTTGATATCTTTAAAATTATTTTAGAACCCAGATATGAAAATGAGCTCAAAGCTAAGGAGAAAAAATATATATTGCTGTTCTTAATATTGCCTGTCAACTATAATAATTGCTTTATTTAAAAATATTTTCATTAGCTATCTCTGTTGTTCTTGCTGTGTGCAAGATGGTTGCCATAGATACCAGATAGTGGACATTTCTGGTGTTCATTCCTCTGTATGGATCTATATTCCCATCTACTTTCAATTTCTTCATATCCGAAAGACTTCATGTTAAAATTTCTTACGATGCAGGTCTGCTGGTGATGAATTCTTTCAGCTTTTGTATGTCTCTAAAAAGTCTTCAATATCTATTTTTAAAAGATATTTTTACTGGGTATAGAATTCTAGGTAGACAGTATTTTTCTTTGAGTATTTTTTAAATGTGCTTCCCTGTCTTGTGGCTTACATTGTTTCTGATGAGAAGTGTGCTGTCAATTTTTTTAATCTTCATTGTTTTATATATAACATGCTTTATTTTCTTGGGATGATTTTAAGATTTTTCTCGCTGGTTTTAAGCAATTTGATACTATTTCCTGATTCTTGTTCTTGGGTACAGTGAGCTTTGTGAACATGTAGGTTTATATTTTTTCATCAAATTTGGAATATTTTTTGCCATATTTCTTCAAATATTTAATCTCATTTGGTGTCCATTTTTTATTATTATTTTGTTTGTTGTGTGTTTTAACTCCGGAAGTTTGATTTGAGTCTTTTTCATATATTTCATATCTAATGTTTAGTCTTTCCTCTAGCTTTTTTGAGGATTTGGAATATAGTTATAATAATAACTTTTAAGTTTCTTGTTTACTATCTATCTGCGTAATTTCGGGGTTTGGTTCTATTACTTTTCTCTTTTTTCAATGAGTAGTATTTTCTCCTTTCTTTGTATGCCTGGTAATTTTTGATTGACTGCCAGTCATTGTGAGTGTTACCTTATTTGATGCTGGGTATTTTTGTGTTTCTATAGATAATATTCTTGAACCTTTTTCTGTTACATAGTAACTTGGAAACATTTTAATCCTTCAGAGGCTTTCTTTTAAACTTTTTTAGGTACAACTGTAGCAGCATTTAATCTTGAGCTTTTCTCACTATTAAGTAAGTACCAGCCGGTAACTCTCCTCAATGCCTTGTGTGTTATGAGATTTTTCCCTTGTGCATGACAAGAACAGAACTATTCCTGCCCTGTGCGAGCTTCAGAGATGGTTTTCTGTAATTCAAGGTTTCTCATCCTTGGAGCTGTTGACATTTTGGGGCTAGATAATTGGTTTTAGGGGTGGGGGGAGGCAGGGACTGTTCTGTATGCTATCAGATGTTTAGGAACATCCCTGGCCTCTTTGCACTAGATGGCAGCAGCATCCCCCAAATTGTGACAATCAAAAATGTCTCCAGACATTGCCAAATATTTCCTGGGGAGTAAAATCACTCTCAGTGAGAATGACTGCTGTACCCCTTTCTGGTACTTTCTCATATGCATGCATGGCTGAGGACCTAGCTCAGGACTTGGGTGACCTCCTGCAGATCTTCAGAGTTCTGTTTCTGTGCAGCTCTCTCCTTTCCCATAGTCTTCCCTGAGAATTTTAACCCCTTGACCTCCCTGGATTTCCAGCTCTGTTTTATCAACTCAGGGAGACCACTGGCTTTCTGCCTGGGTTCCTACTCCCCCATCACAGCCTGGAATCTCTCTCTAAGCTGTGAGCTGGGGCAAGCTTAAGGCACACATCATTTGTTTTCTGTCTCTCTGTGATCTCTGTCCTTCATTGCCTCATGTCCAGTGTCTTTGAAAAACTGTCACTTCATGATCTCTTCTTTTTTTCCCAGTTTTTTTAGGTGGATCTGTTAACTTCATCTTGGTTCTCATTCTTGAAAGATACTTTTGCTGGGTATGCAAGTCTGGGCTGACTTTTGTATTTTTTTTTTTTTTTTGTCCTTTTTGAGACCGGCCACACCGTGCTCAGCCAGTGAGCGCT